CGGCTCTTACACCTTCTCCCCTACTACTACTACTACTACTACTACTGTCTTCGACGAGTGAGAGTGATTACGACGAGTCTGTGAACACGCGGACCAAATCGTCCCTGTATCTCGACAGCTCGAGACACATGGGGGTCGATCACGGTAAGTCAGTACACGTTAAATGAAACAGTGTCTAACGAAGTTTACCAGGACAATCTGTTTCTTACTCCTTTCTCTATCTCTCTGATATGTTTCATAATTTTTTAATCAAACATTGATATCATCTAGGAAATTTTCTGAAAGGATTTTCTATTTGCGCAAAAGGTGATATTTTAATTTTAACTTTGTCTCTTGGTTTTTTTTTTTTTTTTTTTTTTTTTGCTAATACCACCCTTACCTCTGCTTAACCCTTTCGCTGCCACAGAGCTTTTGTATTTGAAAATAGAATTGCAAAATTATTTTATTCCAAGCATCCACAGCGAAAGGGTTAATGTACGATTTTATGAAACGATTTTTAATTACGAAACATCAAGATTTGTTTTGTGCGGTAAAAGTTTTTTGTGAAAGTGTAAATTTCTCGTTTCGTTGGTCAGTGGAGGGAGATTAACCGAACGAACGATATTTCACGCGAATGAAAGAGCATTAACGTTTTACGTACACCGATTCGAAAGGATTAACCAGGCGGACAATGGGTCTCGACGGGAAATAAAGTGTTTTATTTTGGAATGGCGATGTATAACGCTTGTATCCTGGTTGTCACGGTAGGCAACGCGGGGGTGGTCCGAATCTATGCACGGATGTTTGGGAATCAATAATAAACTGCACGATCGAACGGGCACAGACAGAAGAGTCCGTTCGGTTTTGTGCGCAACTGTTCGATAAGCATCGTGGATAGAAAGCGATCGGACGGTTTTTACTATCGGTTGTATTATCAGGAAACGGTGATCGATGATACGTCAATTTGTTACGGAAGAACGATGGACGGCTGTTCGCGTGGAGATTAAAAACTCCCGGGATTAAGAAAGTTCTGATACGGATTCGTGACTCGATTCGTAACCCGACGTCGGAAGTTTTTAAAGATACCCGATCGAACGATGGCTTTTTCCCTGCTGTTTCAAACGTTCGATGGCTCTCGGTAAACGTAACTAGTCGAAGAAAAGTAGACGGAATGGTCTAAGTAAAGCGTTCGATGAAATTTTTTGCCTTGATTTTCCTTCGGCCCGATTTACGGTCATTTGATTTCTATTGTCTCGAAGAAAACTGTTGAAAGTCACTGAGATAATTAACTCTCTCACTCTCGATAATTAATTCTTAGTAAATCAATTTATTTAGACATTCTGTTCTTGGAATTTTACTTTTTTCATTAAGATTATTAATGGAATTTTGAGAGCTTCGTTTAAAATTATTAATTTTCAAATTTTAATTAATATCAATAACGTGGGAAATAAAAAATAGAAGGTACTTGATTAAGAACTCAGTTTCTCGTTAACAGCGTTTATTTAGTGAAAATTGTTGCATTGAATATTAATACAATAGGTCAGCCAATGGCAATTTGTCAAAGCGGCAAGGTCGTAAGCGGAAGTACCCGAGGCTGTTCAGAAACAGAAACAGAGAGGACACAGCTCACAGAGGATCACGAGCCATGAGTTAGTACATACGCACGCGTGACGTTATTAATTAACCACAGAGAGGATAGTGATTGCGATTGGTCCCGTTGTGTACACTTCGATTCGAAACAACCTGACGTATGCATTTGTGATTACATGTCCAAATCGTTAGACAATAGATTGAATCGAATTCTGTTTGAACGTTGCTTAAGCTTGTTTTTTTAAGCACCGAGAATTTTACTTTGCCTCCTGATCCTTTTCTGATCGCGTTCTACCATTTGGGTTTGGAAGTTTTTCTTTTGATTAGATTTTGCTTTTATCACGTTTACGAGCGTTTTTATTCCTCCATCGACCCCTGTACATCCACGATAGTCCAGAAATAGGGCCATCACATGATTTTGTTCTCTTATCGTAGCTTACCCTTTTTATTGAACAATATATCTTTTATTTCACGCTGTGAACCACTAGCGAAAATAAACTAAACGTGTTAACTTCAATAGTATAAATAAATACACGTAATAATATAAATTAGCATATTGATTACTGTGAGGGATGATTATTGATCAAAATCACAAACTTAATATTATTGAATAATTTAACAATTGTTTTTAAAAAGTGAAGGGAATTTTAATTGAGTTGTACTAGTTAACCAGTTGTTCTACCCTTTTCTCTTTTTTTATCGTGGATTAAAAATTCAACATCGAGGTCTTTCTCTGAGGTGCTTGACAAAAGAGGACAAACCCTCTGGTTGTTGCTCGCTGCGTAAAAAAACATGCCCCAGTTTTTGCAACTTTTTCCAGTCAAACGATGCTGCAATTAGAAGGGTGTTTTCGGCCACGTATCGAGGTAGACCTCCGAGACCCTCGACTGTAGGTTACTGGAAAATACGATCCACTTTGTTCTGGTGATCGTGTAATTATAGTTTTTCATGACCCTAGCTATTGTCCAACACGATTCCCATGTGTAATTTTATTTTTCCTTTGATAAATCGTTTCGTGGTAATTGATAATATCTTATTAATTTATCAAAAATTTCATTATTTTCATGGATTATTACATTTTGAGAATAAGGGCAGGTTCTCTAAGTATTCCTTCATTATCTTGAAAGCTTATGCATCGCGTAAATGAAGTTACTTAATATAGAAGGGGGTAAGTTTTTCCCTCGCCCTAGGAAGCAATCAATTTTTCGTCATTTCTGACCCACCATTTCTCATTAAGCCCAGCCAATATAGTCGTTGGCAGCGTATGTCAGAATTTCGTTAGCCTACCTGAGAAGCCATCGGTTCCAATATCCGATTTTAATGGTCCCCGAAGGGTTTGCGTAGGGCAATTTATAACGTTACAGCCCACGTTATGGAGGGTAATGGATCATTAGTCTCATGGTGGATGGCAAAGTCACCTGAAACCTTGATGTTTGTGGGGTTTGACATCAGATCATTCTGTTGACATTTTGGCTTCGAAATTTCGTAATGAAGCAATTAATCAAAATTAAATTGTCGTATCACTATGACCAATTAACAGATATTACATTTTCTAACGAACAAAAAGAATTTATCCAAAAATTTTTAAAGCATACTGTGCTGAATATTTTCTCTCTGAACTTTAGAAAATTCAAGGGATAATAAAAGAAGGTTTGTTTCGAAAATGTAGTTCAAAGTCAGCACGAGCATGATGTGCTTTTGAATTGGAGATAGAAAAAGAGGTAATAACGAAACGTTTGTCCGGCGGACAGGTTATCCAAAATCGCAATCTCCAAGGTGCTTGGCGAGACCTACAACTGCCAATATCGAGTTTCATGGACTTGTAAGGGTCTCTATATGACTCGGGTGTACAGTTTCCCAGAGTACGTTTAAATTTGTTTCGATGTTTCTGTAGCTCTGTTATTAAAATGTTCCCATTGCTCCTGAACATCAACACTTTTAGAATATTTCGTCTAATGGTGAAATATTCCATGTTCCTTCTATAATAGACACGGTTAACCATTGGAAAATTAGAAATTTTATTTCAATTATTATTTTAGACTCTCCTAAAATTCAATAATTAGAAAAATTTTTATCAACTGCTCTACGTAAAATTTCCAAGAGAATTCAATCGCTTAATCCAAAGAGACCATAAATTCCCTGGTAATAAATTCGGATCTCCAAGAAATTTCGAAACGAACGATCGTGCAATTATCGATCCGAAAAAACAAACTATTACAGCAGTGCAAATAATCGTGCGATGACGTCAGTCATAAATTATCCTAAATACTATCCATTCACACCGGAAGAGGGAAACGAGCTAGAAAATCAGTTTTAACCGAGTCCCGATTGCAGGAAAATCAACGTCAATACCGACGAATCTCTCCGGCGGATAGTTCGTGATTTACGATCCTCCTGCACCGTCTCGATCGAAATATTGCACCGCGAGGAAATTTAAATAAAGATCCCTGTCGATTTAAGGACGCTATTACCAGAAGTATGCTCGGTCAAAATTGCGCGACAGAGTATTGATTCCCCTTTCCATCGAATTTTCGTCCTGCCTCCATGAAAAAAAAAACCGAAGAGAAACTTTCGAGGACTCTATAAAAGTTGAAGCTGCCACATCCGGTCGATGTTTATACACCGAAACCTCCGGTGACTTGAGATTATTACTTCCCTACCGATAAATTTAACTTTTTCTCATTTAATTCAAAACAACCTTCTCGTATTTTCATAAATAATGAAGTTTTGGCCAATATAAATAATTGAATATTTCTAGAAATTATAAATAGGTATTTCATTCAGAAATCAGGGATCTTATCCTTTTAACGAGGTTGGATGGATCTCCGTATCTTTCACGATTTTTCCCTCCAAGCGTAATGTAAAGAAGCGATGCACCGACAGTCGTGGAATGAAGATGCATCGTTCCCGACGGATTGCATCGTTGCATCGAGTGTCGGCACGCGATATCGAATATTCGAAATCAATATAGGTTACAGCTAGCTGTATCAACGACGTTGCTTCACTAACACACCTCGAAGGTTACGTACACCCACGTAGCGAACCGTGTACGTAATGCGGTTTAATATAGACCAATTGTATACGGTTGGTTTCGGTGGCGAAGCAGCAGAGATTGTATCTCCAGGCGACAGGCAACAGCAGGCCGAAGGAAAACATCTGACACACGGCAAACTCTATCTTGAAAGCAAGCGTACCCGGAAGCTGTGTTGTCGATGGGTGTCCTGTTCGCGAGACTCGGTGAACCGACGGCCAAGACAATTTTCTTGATTTCTTTTTTTCTTTATTGAAACAGGATATCATTGAAAAATTGGGTGGTTTGGGAAATTGAAATTTGAAAAACAGGGAGTTGTTAGGAAAATTCGTAGCAATTCGATATGAAATCATCCAGAATGGGATCGAGTGATGATGGAGGTACCTTCGCGCTGTTACAGGATCGAGTGCACACAAAAACGACGCAACCGGAAATGGAAGACCGGCACCCCTGTTGGCAGAGCCCAGATACGGCGCCGCACCCCAGCCATACGGTAAGTCTCTCCCTATTTTCTCTCCTCGACTCTCCCTTTGATAGTCAAATTAAGCGAAGCGAATTGGGAGAGCGGATGACCCATCGAATGGAGATGGCTACAGATTTTTCCTGAGAGCCGTGCGAAAAACTCGGTCCGTCTAATTGCATAGCGGACGATGCAGTTTTCGAACGATTTTCCTTTTTTATCTTCCTGAATTATTCATGAGACGATTATTACCCTGATTTTTATCTTCCTCCTAGAATAACGTCCCTGTGATGCGACACGTTGTAAAAATCATTATATTCAACGTAAGTTAGGTAACGTAACTCGTTAAGGGGTGACAGAAGGGCACGTTTCCGTTTCGGAAGTTATTACCGTAAGTTGCAACGAGACTAACGAGACTGTAGAAATTTTGACGGGAAATCGATATCGTAATTGTAGCGGAGTTATGTCGTGATCGAACTGTCGGAAGTAAAACTATAGGACGAAACCCAATCCGAGTTCGCGACGTTCTGTTAAAGAATAGCAGCCAATAGGAGAAGCTCGATAACGAAGTATTCTTGATCGATGGCTAACCCGTTGCTAACGACAATTATATCAATTCTGTGCTAAATCAAAATATCAGTTCCAGAACGCTGTACTTGTCTGTCGCAATACCGATGATCGATATCGAACAGTTGCATTGCAGTTGCATTTGAGTTGCATTTGGAAAATTTTCAAGAAATCATCCCTGCAATATGAATGCAAAATACATTACTCCTCGAAAGCAATTAAAATCATAAAATTTCATACATGGCCTAATTTCTCTTTCATTTGATCGTCGATACTGTAAACGAGCATTCGATCTAACCGATTAATATTTCCTCTCTTGGTGATTAATAGGTACGCGCAACAGTCGCTCGATTTCCATAATTAGCGGTACTGAATAAAATCCACCGGACGCGAGAGGACATCCCATATATCCTTTGGTTTCTCTTTGTTTCCAGGTTCCACGCCACAGGTAACTTTTCCCCCGGGTGCCGGCCACGATCGTTACGAGGAGAATTTCAATGGTCCAGCAACGTATGCGGAGCCGTACGTTGAGCGTTACGGTATTAAGAGTGATTTTAGCGGTCGAGAGCCTTTGCATCCCACACCACCTCGGCCTGGTTACGTACCCACCTTGGGACAAACACCACCCTCGAGCACACAGGGCTCTGTGATGATGGTTTATGGTTTGCAACCGGATAAAGTCAACACCGACAAGCTGTTCAACTTGTTCTGCCTCTATGGAAATGTAACGAAGGTACGTCGATATTTTCACCGTCCTTCTATCATGGCGTCTTATGACGACATACGTACTGAAGGTGTTCAAAACTGAGATCCTCTTTCTATAAAAATAATTATCACTACTATAGGAGATGGTATGGTAAAAATTATCACCTTGAATATTTTTTAAATTGTTAAATTTTGCCCCTGCTCCTATAATATGGAGCCTTTTAGATACTACATAATTTTTGTGAATAAGTATTATTTCACATCCCTAAAAATAATAAAGATAATTAGGTAGCCCATCCTGGTACTAATACTGGTAATAAAAACACCGTTCGTTGTTGTATGTTATTATAAGTAACTGCTAATGGATTGCCGTTGGTTCTGTGACAGGTGAAGTTCTTGAAGACGAAAGAGGGATGCGCGATGATACAGATGGGCGACAGCATAGCCGTGGAACGGTGTTTACAGAATCTGAACAACGTGACGATCGGGACGGACGGCAGGTTGCAGCTCGGTTTCTCGAAACAAGCTTTCCTCTCGGACGTCACCAACCCCTACATTTTGCCCGACAAGACAGCGAGCTTCAAGGATTTCACGGGAAGCAAGAATAACAGGTAAAGTTAAATAACCCCAGGTGTTGAATATTCTACTTTCCATCCCTCTTACACCCGATCCTATTTTCGGATCACCTTCTGTTCTAGTTACATGTTTGCCCCGTTGCAAACTCTTCTCGACTTTATTCCTATTTCTCGAACAACCCCGCGTGTGATATACAATTTCTGTCGTTCACTTTGTGATATAAAAGGGTTGAAAGTTTGAGAAGATGTATAAAAATAGGTGGCTAAACTTTGATAGTCTTCATTCTTTTTGATCTATAAACTTGAAGAATTTTAGAAATTTTTCTGGAGAATTGTTAGAAATCAAAGGTTATCTATTTTCTTATCAAGTTCTCTACAGTACTAGATCTCTTTTGATAAATTATTATCTTGACAATTTCTTTTTCTAAATATTCTTCCATTGTTAATATACAAATTAGCACGTATTGTTCAATAATTAGCTATTTGCAGTGCGCTATATTATCATTGTATTTTACAAACTTCGAAACAATTTCTAAGGTCTGGTCGTTTTTAAGAATATTGAAATTAGTACTAGAAGTATTTGAAAGGTGATCAATGCGTAATCGGGCTCGAATCCTGCCTGGACGTTGAATGAACGTTAATGAGCGAAGCTACTGGTGGATGAACGTTTAGCATGGAAAGGAAGAGAAACGTGCAGCGATTAATGACGTCTTTCCTTCCGGAGCAAGCTTCCTACGGATTTAATATTTGTTCGATGAAAAGTTAATTGCAAGCTGGCCCTTTCAAATGTCTCCGTTTTTGACGTTCGCCGTTATATACGTTCGCGAGAAATTAATTACAAGCTTGCAGTGGGAGGAGGGTAAAAGTCGGAAACGCGTTTGAAATCCAATGGGAATCAGAGCTTGATTCATCTGTTTCCGATGATACATAGTACTCCGCGGTACAGTTCCTTTCAAGGCTAAAAATTTATCGCCTGGAGGAAGTTGAGGAAATATAATTTTCAAACGTCTACGGAGATAGAGAAGATACATTTTCATGGCCCACTGCAGTAATTTTCTTTCTTCGTATCTTTACACTTGATGTATTGCATTGTTGTATGACGAATTTCGAAACGTAGAAATTCTGAGATCATTTGATCACATAAAAGCATTGCAAAATGATCCTTGTGGCATATCAATTTTCAATATAAAATGATTGGTTGCTAGTTGTACCAAACAATAAATTCTGACACAATTTCATGACAGAAAAGTATCATAAAATAATACTTATGATACACCAAATTAAAGCTTGAAGTTTCATAAAAATGTCTGTATAAACATTTCATGATTATCTTTATTACAAAATAAAATAAACGTTGAAAACCATCGACAGATAGTATTGCAAATTTAGTGAAAATTTTTTTAAATGAATGACAGATTATATTTTAATTTTCTCTCTGTTAAATTATAAACATATGAATCCCAAATTGATGAATATGTTTACCATTATTAATTACAGGTTCCTTAACCCCGCAATGGCCAATAAAAATAGAATACAACCACCCTCGAAGATCGTTCACTTTTTCAACACACCTCCAGATTTAACCGAAGAAACCGTACACCGTGTGTTCGTTGAACGTGGAATTGAAGCACCCACGACAGTGAAATTGTTCCCCTTAAAATCGGAACGATCGTCGTCCGGCCTTATCGAATTCAGCAGTGTCGGTATCGCGGTAGCTGCCATCATGGAGTGCAATCACACAGCACTGGAAAACAGCAGTGAGTATCTTTAATAAATTTTCATTACACTATACATTATATTTAATCCTCTCGTTACTAGAGCTATAATCTGCAACTTTTCATAGCAGTATTCTTTAACACGTTAATTGTTGCATGTAGTGCAACACGTTATAATTATTGTAATTGACCTAGATAATTACCAGTTTAATAACCACGTTATAATTGCTTATCGTTTAATTTTCTAATTTACATTTTCCATTGACTACCTTTCGAAATTAATATACATAATATTAATGTTAATTGGAATTTTCTTGAAATTTTTTTTAATTAAATGTTAAGACGATTCGTGACTTCATTTATTAAATGCTTTAATAATTAGTGGAATGAACTTTAGAAAAAATCTATATCCTTTTGCTTGAATATTATGAAAGGGTTAAATTAATCTTCAAAGTTTCAATAAGTTAGCTGTTAATAGGAGTATACAAACTGTTAGCTGTATGATAAACATAGAACTGGTTAGCAGAATTAACAGAGTTGATGAAGACACTAGATCTCTACCAAAATTTCAATCCATCAAATCGTTACAAGACGGTAACTAAGTTCTTCGTGTTCATCTAAACTTCCGTCGATATCTGTGCCACTCAATCCACGCTTCTACTTTAAACTTAACTTTGCCAAATCTTGTTCACAAATAGAAAGAAGCTCTCGATCAGTCTTCTACGTTCTACCCTAGTTTAATTCCTGGTCGACTTTGCACCAACAGACTAGGAAGTTTATTCTGAGGTAAAACTTCAGTACTTCAAAGGTTTTTCTATTACCAAAGGCAAGCTTCTCAAGATAAATGTCATTATAGAGTGTAAATTATTGAATTACTTCAGTTTCTCTTTACCTCGTACGAACTCAGAAAAGTTCAAGTATTTTAAAATATTTATTTAAAATAAATTAAATTCCTTCGAATTTATCAAAACTCAGGACTGTAAATATGTACTTAAATTAAATTTTTATCATAATTTGTCTCATTAACCACAAATATATATTGCATCAGTAAATAGGTATGAGCACTTGCTCCGAATTCTACGATTTCCTGTCGGCGTAGAATTATTGAACAATAGTGTGCCAACTTGTGTCAGTTTATTTTCTCAAGGATCTCTTCTTAAATATCTTATTGATACTTAAACTTTGGAATGTGATCTGTGTCTCCAAGTATTATTCTGACCCAGTATGTTATTATGGTTATTCTGGAGTCTTGGAGTCTATGTTCTCCAAAACCAGATAGTAAATGATGCGAGACACTGTACCCTTACCTTTAGTCAAAGAAGCCTACATTGCACCCAGGGTGGGCCAGGAATCCAGGTGTTTTTTGTTGGATAAGAAGTAAAGAGTGGTGAAAATAAAATGTTCAATTTAAAAGGCAGAAAGAATGAATTTTTCCATTCTAACATTATCATTTTATTCTGTTTCAGACGGCAAATTCCCGTACATAATGAAGCTGTGTTTCTCCTCATCGCGCACCATACCCACGAGTTTCCCGCCCAGCAGCGGCAGCACGTCGAGCAATTCCGCCGGTAATGGGCACGTCAAAATGCAGCAGGACTCGGAATAGAACGGCGAGGTCCAGGGCCAGCAGCGTCAGCGTCAGCGCCAGCGTCCCTCTCTCGCCCTGCACCCGTTGTGTGCCCCGACGGGCACGGCCCTGCACCCAGCCGCAGCGATAACACTATCCCCGGTATTACCGCCACCTGTGCCGCCTCCATTGCCGCCTACCTGCGTCCTGATCGCCACGCCGACACTATATCCAACCGTGCCACCGCCGCCACCGCCTCCGTTGCCTACATTCTGGCCGTATTGATGAGAGGAGCAGGCCTACATGGAGGACGAGCCAATACCCAGAGGGATGGTCTCGTCGTCAATTTTATTCATCTACTCCTCGCCTCCTGGTGGACTGGCCGAAGGATCACAGACGCTGGTCGCTGGAAGTGTATCGGTTGGCTCGAGGATCAATGCCGGACAGCACGGCCTCGAGAGTCGAGGACCAACGAGATTATCAGTGTTTCAAGAAATCACGGAAGATGACGTAGTTGGCACACGGTACGGATCAAGGTACTGTTCGAAGGTCATCGAGGATCGTCAGACGGAACAGCCGAGAAGCAGCGATGTTTACGATCAACACTTTGTTCTATTCATTTTTTCTCCTCTTCCTCCTCCACCTCCTCCTCCCATTCTTCATCTTCTTCTGTCTGTTGTTTCTTTTATTCTTGTGTTACTTTGGCGAGGTCCGGGTATACGTGCTTACCCCGTTCGAAGCCGTACGCCACAAGTGTCAGTATTATGCCGAGGCGGATCTTCTCGTCGACAGACACCAAGACGGCAGAGAGAGAGAGACTGTGCTCGCGAGACGGAGAGGATTCGCTTCATCGTTCTGTCCTTCTGTCGGACACACGAGGATTGTACATAATGTTCGAGGGTGGAGGCCCGCCGTCTGAATGGGAATCTGCCGTTAATTGGCAAGGATTTACATATCAAGGGCCGGGCAAAACGATACCTAGTACGCTTCACGGGTAACCATCGTCGCGTTCGCTTATTATTACCTTGGCCGTATCTCTTCACCGTCCCATCCCCCCGATGGTTTCACCGCGAAACAAAAGACGGTCCCGGTGTTTGCGACGAACCGTTCTCCTCGTTTGTTCGTTCTTCGTGGCACGCCATTTTCGGGTTCGTTTCGTGGCGAGGCCAGAAGACACCTTACGCGATCTCGATGCCGATGCGCACCCGCCATTCCTCGTTGACCATTTTATCATGGGATCCAATAAATCGGAGGTTCCTCATTGACCATTAGATGCTACACACCGGATACAATTATCTCGAGAGTGTTCAGAGGATCTGAATCAATCGTGCACGCGAAAACAAAAAAACAAAATCGTGTGATGTTTAAGAAAGAAAATAGAGAATCCGACTCGCGAGAATCTTTTCTTTTGCTCTACGGCAAAGAGGACGAAAGCTCTATCGTCTGTCCGTTGTTTTATATACTCTGTACGTGTATATATTATAATATCGATATCTATACATGCACTTCGAACAAATATCTATTTATGTTTTCACGTTGTTCAGATTTTATTTTACAACGCTTGGAATTGTGCTCCGAGAAAGTGTGAGAGATCGTGTGTGCGCGCGCGCGTGTGTGTTCATGGGGGTGTTAGTTTTTTTTTCGGGCGTCGAATCTCTGATCCTTCGATTTATCCGCTTGCGAATTATCTGCTCGCGATTCGTCTCGAAAGGTCGCTTCTTCTTTTCGCGTCGCACGAGGAAGCTTCTCGCGAGTCTAGGGTTTCTTTTCGTATAAGAAAGAAAGTGAGAAAGAGAGAGGGGTGAAAATCGGTCCCTGCTGCGTGTTTGTGGATTCGAGATTCGTTTATTGTCCCCTGCTCCATCGAGAGGGGAACAGAAACGAACGATCGAGGGGGGTAACGTTCCCTCAGAGCTGTAGTGTTCAGGTTGCGACGATGGACTCGGTACAATTTATTTATTTATTTGTTTTGTTTCTTTTTTTTTTTTTAAGAGAGATGAACGGACGAGCAACCGGAAAAGCTTAATATTCCCACGAAATAAAACGCCCGTACACTATTGATCAGATCGCGGACTGTGAATTGAATTTTATATTGAAGACAATGAAAAATCGACGACACACAATATATTAGTGGTCCCTCGGCAATATTTTGTCGGGCCGCGGGACGTTTTTATAACGAAAGGTTTTAGATCTCCGATTTGAAAAAAAAAAAAAATGAAACAAGCGACAAAATATGCTAAAAATAATAATAATAATATTAATAACGATAAAAGGATAAAGGAAGTAACGAGTTGTGTGTGTTTGTTTTTTCTCGAAGCGAACCAAATGAACTACTAAAAAATAAATAATATTAAATAGAGAGACTTTACTCGGCCATACGTAACGTAAGATAATAAGGAACAAGATTTAAACAAAACAAAAAAAGGGTCTAAAACACGCGTTGGTTACCCTTTCTAAAATGCCTGTGTGCGAGAGAGAGCGAGAGAGAGAGAGAGAGAGACCTAAAGAAGAATGAGAATTATAACTTAAATAAGGGGAATTTAAAGAAAAAAAATAAGAAGTGTTTATATTTGAGGCAATATTTGTTACAATACAGCTAGAGCATAAGTTGTATATCATTTTAAGGGGCTCAGTATATAAAAAGCGATGATCCTTGCTGATTACAGACATAGCACACATGAGAATATAAAAAATGAACAACATGCAACGTGTAACGAAAGGATACACGTTGTACGTTGATTAATTAGCAAAAAGTTTCTTCTTGCAGAAACTTATCAATCGTAGAGTGATATATATATATATATATATATATATATATCTATATGTGTGTATATCAACGCAAGAATAACACAAAGGTACTAAGCTAAGGAATTAAGAAAAACCGCGGATCAATAATAATTCGTTTACACTCTTTTTCTTTCTTCTATTTCTTTCAATTTTTCTTTCTTTCGATATTCGCGTTCGGGAGAACTGAATAATTATCGTTACATCACATTCTCGTACTTTTTTTCTTGTATTAAAATGATTCTTATTAATATTATTATTATTATTATTATTGCTATTATTCGTCGTTTCTAATGTGTAACCATATACATATATATATATATATATGTATGTACGAGGGGAATAAGTTCACACTAGGATACGTCACTGTTTTTATCCTCGAAGGATTTCGTTTTAAATTTAGCGAGCAGGACCTAAAGAATTGAGATGAAAATAAAAAAGAAACGCGTGAAGTAGATAATAAGCAGATAGGAGTCTTGTAATCATATCATAAAATTTTGTAGATATTAACATATTACATGTGATCCGCGAGAGTACGGCGTTATTTAAATCCAAGAGTGTATCGTCTCGCGAATTCGCGTGGTAGAAGAAAAAGAAAAAAAGGAATTTATGCTCGATTTTTAGATGATAAGATCAAACGCAGAGTTTCGATGATTTTAGGTCTCGATCAAAGGATCCGATTCCTCGAGAACGAATCTTCTTCTCCCTATTCTTTTTTTTTTCTCTCCACACATACACACGTTCATACGCTTCTGCGTACCTTGTGATAATGCATTCGTAGTCGTTACGTTGCCCATTCCTAATTGATATATTCCACGGTGACGATGAGAAACGAGCGACAAGGCGGGCAAAAGTCGGTGGACGAAGGTAGACGATACGTTCTCGAGGAATTCCATCCGACTCCCAACCCGATCAGAATCACCTAGGTACACCTCCAACCGGAGAACAAACTATAGATACAAGAAAGAATGGAGAAACTTTAATTAAAAATGAAAAAGAACAAAAAAATAATATTGTAATTGAGAGGTCAAGCACGCATGCCAGACTGTCGCTTATTTTCTGACACTTTACCTGTAACATGATGACCGTGTGGCAAATCTTACGCTAGTATATATATATATATATATGTGTGTATATATATACATTAACAACGAACACGTTCGCGGACACACGTTTCCACGTGCTCTGTGTATTTCTATGTGTCACACCAAAAAGACAAAACCACCCACATGTGTGTTACTTCTCGATCCTCCTCTCGTATGTTTCGCGACGAACAGAGGTGTCACGGTTTTACATTCTTTACATTTAGCTCTTCCCCACCGTCGCGAGTTGTTCCGTGATCGATTAGAATGATTCCTAAATTCATCTAGAGTCTAGATCCTAGATCCTCCGTGTTTAAAAAAAAGAAGGAACCGTGCGTATCGTGTGCGCGTATGGGAGTAGACGAGATTTCCTCGTGCAACGCGAAGGGGATCGAGGATCCACCTTTGCGGGGTAGATAACGGTTTCTAAGCTGCTTGTCTCTCGCCTAGATCGACGGCGGAAGGGTTAAATTTAAAGACGACAATTTATAAACGATCCCTGACCGCCTGTTCCATCGGAGGACGACGAGCTTCTTTAAAAAGCTCGACTTTTTGGTCGCCTAGTGTTCTGGACGACCCTGATATCGTTTGCAAAGATGTTCGCGTCGCATATATTCTTTCGGCCCTCCTCCAATGTACATAGCTTTCTTGTTCGCTCCTCTGTGCGTGAATGTGTGCATGTGTGGGTGTATGAACTCGTTACGCGAACACGTAGGAACGCTAATGATCGTTGTTTCATTTACTTTTCTCCTTGTTTTTTTTTTCTTTTTTTCCATGGACGACTAAAGTGTACAAAGGAAAACGTCGATGTTGTCCAGAACACGGGTCCTACGTGTATGAATGTGTGTATGAGTGAGCGAGCGATCGTCCTCCGACAATGGGCATGGAACAGAGAGAGATTCTTCTTATATGTACAAAAATCAAATTGTAATTGTAGAGTGTAGAGAGTCTGTAACGGTACAGTATTCCAGGTAGCGTCTAAATAGCACTGTGTTAACACACCGACGAATAAGCAAAACATATTATTAAAAAGAAGAAAATGAAAAAAAATAATAAAACTACAGAGATAATTACGTCAGCATACGAAACTCGAGGTTGTAAAGAGAGCGCGAGTTTGATAATTAAACGAATCGAGGAAAAAATATGAAGAAATTGAAACGAGGTGAAACCAGTTCGTTTTTTCGAATCTTGAAACACGATGATACATATCCCATCTTGTATGTATATATTTGCAGTTTTTTCCCCATGTGAAACATTTTCAATTAAATCTCGACGATCGATTCTGTAATTATGATTGATTAGTATTATCGCGACTTAACGACGATGTTGACGATTTAACTATTATTATTAATTATTGATTCTTAATTATTATTTATGGTTGGCCGATTTTGTGAAAATCGCAACGAATTAAGTAATGTTACAACCGACGATCGACATTGCGTTTAAAAGCGTTAGGTTTAATGTTTGTAGTTAGGTAATGTTAGGTAGATCGGAGAGTAGGTACATATCGTTAATATTGTTATCGATTAATAGTATTGCGAAGAGGAAAAAAAAAAAAATAATGATACGAAAAAAGGTATTACTGCCGGGAGCGCTTTGATTTCTTTTGTACCTAAAGTGGCTCGAATTTACAACATTCGCGAGATCGTTGCGATACTGAACATTTTCCAAAAGTATCAGATTAAACAAGTATCTGAACGACGTCTCGAACAAGTATCGTCGCGATCTCGCGTTAAATGATTACTTTAAACGAAGAAAAAAGAATATTATATTTTTGTGCACCGAATCGCATCCGGTGCCGAGCGAACCCGAAGCTAAGAGAAATATCTTTTCAAGTATTATGTGTTCTACGTTGATACTATCGTACGTATAGCTTTCGAATATCGCTGCCTAATAATTTTTATTTTTCATGGAACATCTTCGGGTGTCGCGAGGCATCGCGAAGCGGGATAACGTAGGGCGATGACAAAATAAATCAAAGCGCGGTAACCTTTTTAGCGAAACCCTTCTTCCCCTCTAAGTATTACCGAGCAACATATACCTGTCCCACATATCAGAATCTTACGTATCCCACGCGTCATATCAATGTTTCTAAGCGTTAGCCCTAATGTATCCTTTTAATCATTTCTCCCCGAATCCCTTTGTCCCCTTATCGAGGGTGAGATTTCTATCCCAAGAAAATTTACGCTGTACCAACCCTGTCCCCGATCCTTGTTCATCCCTTGTCCCGATAAAAAAAAAATGATCCACCTCGTTATTGTACATCTGAGCCAGAAGGGTCTCTATGCTCTGTCTTCCCATCGCTGCGTCAAAAGACAAACTAGATGTAATAAGATTTGTTGACTGTATACATTATTATACATTGATTGTACACGAATCAGCAACATCACACACCCACGAATACTCGATGTCACACGGACACACACTTACACACAACAAGGGACACTATCTTCCAGCCACTGCGTCAAGATAGACCAAAATGGATCGGTAATGCTGATCGTCCTAAGAGATATTATTTTATTATTGAAATAATTTAGGGAGGATACGTGGATCCTTGCGATTTTAGGGTCGATACAGAGGGTGAAGAGGTTGAGTCGCTTTGGTACAAAGATTCGTGATTTTTAGAATGAAAATTTTCATTTGGGGATGATGGAATTTTAATCCTCGAGATTTTGTCATTAGATGAATTTGAAATTTAGATTGTTATAAGGGTGATTTTAGTATATTGACTGCCATATGTGGGATTTCCTTAGGAATCCATATTAGATATTAGGAATTTTTTAAATTGTCTAATTAAGTGCTTTAAATTTTGAGTAGAAAACCTTCAGCATCACAGTGGGTGTTTTGATTTTTAATATATTAATAATTTTTTAAGTTTGAAAGTTTTTGAAATTGAAATTTTAGCACTGTTGCCTTGAACATTTCTGTGATGTTTCTCGTTTTAATAATTTATAATAAAACTATCGTTTTATGCATTTAAAAAGAAAATTTAATTATGCTGTATGGGGTCTGAAATCGCTTAGAATAAATTTCCACGAAGTTTAAAATATTTATCCTGGATACTCCAGGGAGATTCTGTGCTTCTTGAAGAAGTTTTAGTCGCAAATTTCTATGATCGATCGAGCATTAGCCGTCCATAATTAGCCTGTGATGTCGCAGGGGCCGTTCATTCGGTACACTAGCTTCAGATACGACACGTTAGAAGCGATCGTAGACATTTTACACATCGTGGCCACACCACCGGTGACAGACGAAGATGACACACAACCATCCAAGATTAAATTTAAAAGATAAAAAAAAAAAGAAAGAAAGATAAAAATAAACACAGGAGACACAGACACACATCCAGCATATGATTACTCTTTAAACGAATAACAAAAGGATAAAAACAAAAAAAAGTAATAATAATTAATGATGTAATGTGTATATTAATACTTGTATGTCGTACGCTCTAATGTTGTTTGAAGAGTTATTTGCGAGTCAATTATCTGTGCCTAGCAGCCCTGTGCACCCTATCAAATGTACCACCGTTCAGATGAAAAATTAAAAAAATAATAATGGGAAAAAAATAACAGAGTGAAAGATACTGATTGAACCAAAAAAAAAAAAAAAATATGTGTATATATATATATATACAACAGCATCAAACAAAAAATAAATACGAACGAACACACATACATACATACGCCGAAGAAACGAGCATATAGATGTGTAGTTTCGAGCAGACACAGTGTTACGAGGTACACTCGTGTGCTTTTCACCGACAACAAAACAACAGTAACAACATATTACAAAAATAAAAAAGAGCGAAAGAAAAGTGAACGACAAAAAAAAAAATAAGAACGAATTCAAACCAACAAACACATGAAAATGAAAGATGAATTAAAAAAAAAAGACAAAAACAAGCAACTTGCACCCTGTATACATAGTTCGCACAATGATCTGTTCCTATTTTGGAATCAGTTTTTTTCGAATTTGCCAAGGAATGTATATCTACAGATTCTATATGAAAAAAAAAAGATACGAAATATATATAGAAAAAAAAAAAAGTGATTATGAAATATAAGTATTGAAATCCATCAGTTCTGGAATTGTTACCCTTCCGCAATCGTGTGTTGTTGCCAATCGCGTCTCTCCCGTCGTCTGTGATCCGAAACGATCGACAGAGCGAGAGATAGAATCGCATACGAGGATTGATAAAAATTCACTCGTTCGTCATTCGCTTATTCGAGCTAATTAGCTGAGCCTAATCGTACGCGATACGTCCACTTCGTTTCGTGCAACCCTCTTAGTAGTCGCGCGACATCCGTTCGCGACTATGACGACGATCATTGCGATCGAAGGTCCACTAGAACGGTTGTCATGATTAAAGAGATCACTGGGAAAAGGAAATAGAGAACAGAAGGCACGTGAGAGAGGGTGTTACAGCTCGTTTCTAGTGGCGACTTTTTCGACGACTTTGTACGCGTTTTTTCCGCTCGATACCGAGCAACTCTTTCAGGGTACCACTTTGTAAAGAACGTTCGTTGAACGTTACATAGCGCAACGTGATTTTTTGAACCAAAAAAAAAAAAATAAATAAATAAACAAACAAAAGTAATAATAGTGAAAGTTCGAGATAGATCTCGCGATTTTTTCTCGCTCGATTGAAAAATTAATTAACAGAAACAACAAAGAGGCAGACAATTAAATGAAAAATATACGTAGACCGTCACACACTGAACACAACAGCACAACCACCACGATCCACGCATATCCATATTTATATACGATTATTATGTATACGTGTGTATGTGTATCAATCACCGACAACACTCACCTGTTTCGTTGTTGTGCGACCATCGTACCACCATACATGATTAAACGTTGCAGAAGTATGCGGGACGCTTGTACACACGTGTGTTGAACGAATTAAATTGAACAAATATAATTCAGAACACTTGAGAAATCGATCCACGCTTCGTGCTCTCTGTTCACGCTGCCAGCAAGGTTTAATAATAAATCTTTATTTGCTACGAGAGGAAGTAGGAATATGGGGTGAAAATTAATCAAATTTAAAATAGTATATTTTAGAATTAAATTTGTTAATTAAATTAGGAATCATTCAAGTTTATTTTCCAGGGTAAATATTTGACTGGTATTATTGTTTATTATAAAATAAAATTACTTGAATTTATTGCCTTAACTACCCTCAATTTGACAACCTAAATTAAAGACATATAATCAGAGTCAGCATAAATTAGTAGAATTAATAGGGGTTAGATTGAAAAGTTTGCCCTAATTTTTCTTTTACGAAAGAAACTGTTAAACCTTGCTGCACAAACGCGACTAAAACCACCCTTTTTCGCAATCAACCCCATTCTGTTTCTTTCCTTTGAAACGTCGTCAGTGATTAACATTCTGGAAACACGAAAAATGGAAATAAAATATCGTGTACTCTAACGATCCGTACTCGTGATTATGATTCACCTGGTGAAATAGTGGGCGATCGATCTCAGAAGGGGTAGAACTCGCGGAGGGTTGAACAGAGAGGCGAAAAGCGTTCCGAATGAATCGGTTAACGTTTGTAGAAGCGACAGGTTGCAAGGGACACGATAGAAAGCATTTGAAACAAATAATAGGGAGAACAATGGGTTACTAAAGGAGAACATCGAGCACAGAAGAATAATTACACAGAGAAAAAAGAGAGAGAGAGAGAGAAAGGAGAGGAGTGAAAGTGTTTGATAGAATGAGAGGTAGAATGAGAGAGAGGGAGAGAAAGGAGATTAGGTGGAAACTTGAGAGTGAAAGAAAATAAAATTTCAAATAAAAATAATAATGAAAGGAATATTGAAGAGAGCACACTCACTGAGCGCCGCTAGTAAAAGACATGGTAGGCTATTATTATCGCTAAATTAGTCGCTAGCCGATAGTGATGTAGTTTACCCTTTAGAGTTATTTTAAGTTCTTAATTATAATATGGTTACTATTAAATTTATTATCGTATCACATTACACACTGTAACACTTCTATTATATAATAACAAGAAAATATTTACCTGTGCATATTGACATATTAATGGAGTCACATCATTAAAACATATACTTACTCAATATATTCAGCGTCAACGACTCGATTCATTGACACCCACACCATATACCATATGCATATACAGAGTGTTCACCATGACCTATGATAGTCTCGTTATTTTTATAAATATTGGATATAAAAAGATTATTTATATAAAAGTCATAGGGGATGAAGGGGTAGATATATTTAAGGAAATTAATTTTTCTTTTACATTGTTGCGTTAGTAGGTATAAGGTCAAGTTTTCTTTTTTTTTTTCATAGAGAGTTATGAAGTTCTTTTTTCAGTAGTTCATTAATTAAATTTTTCTTCACAGTAGAAAACCTGCATGATTTGTTCTTTAATAGTGGAGCACCTAAACTTGTAAAAATAATAAATTTTATAGAAATTATTTCATACAAATATATTTTCTCTTTCGTACTACGTAACTTTTTTATATAAACAGTCCTTTTATATTTTAAATATTTATTGAAAAAATGGAACTATCGCAATATGGACACCCTGTACAGGATATATGTAATCGATGGTACAAACATAATATCTGGTGATCTTGCATGAAAATGTAGATTGAAAATGTAGAATAAAATTTTGTTGGACTCTCTTTTCAAGAACATCCACTTCAGATTATCATACTGGTGTGTATAGGCTGTACCAATATTTATAGTAATCTTGATATTGCTGAGAAGCAAATTTTTATTACTGTTTTCTATCTTTATGTATTTGTTATATAGATGTAGATTTTCGAAATCAATATTCTTGAAAAGAAAACCTTGTGCAACAAAATTTTATATTATATTTCCGACTTATTTTCTCACGTATCACTAATTATCTGTTTGTATCACTACGTACATCCTGTATACCTCTATTCTCAGTGACACATTCTTCCCTTTGGAAGATCGAAGATGACTAAGTAAAAAACTACCACCCCTTCTCACGACGATCACCACCGATTTTATATTTATTTAGTTTTTCCCTCCTATATAAACGTTGACTCCTTTAACTACATATTTTATTATTGTATAATTTATTGTACTGTTGAACGATGAATATTTAATTTCAAGAATATTATTGAAAAAGAAGTTCCAAATATTTTTCTGTTTTTTAAAATTGATTTATAAGTTATATTCGAACGTGATAAAATTTTCAACAAGTTCAAGTGTTTTATCGTTTATCACGAACGTTTAATTTTAATTAATTTAAATATAAATTGTAAATCGTTACGAATTATTTGTTTATTTTGTATTTTATTCCTTCTGTATTATACTAACACGATTTTTGGTTCGAATATTACCTCCAAAACATGAAACGAGACAAAAGGGAATACTCGGAGACTACTTATTCATCACCTCAAGAAAACGACACCCAAATGGATTTTCTATTCACAAAATCACCACCAGTTTGCAGACAAAGGAATACATCGTACCTGGTTCACATAACGATTTTAGGGTAAAGGACAACAATTTACTTAAACAACAGTGTACTTCAACTTTCATGGAACACACAGTTATGTACCTCGAATTCTGTGATAAGATAACTTGTGCAATTCTTCTCTCTGCAAATACACAACGAGTCTAGATGTTCATTGCGGGAAATGTCACGATAAATTTACTTGTATCTTTATTAGTTTTGAGATTCGGTTGACTCCTTTCTAATTGTAAGACAAAATTTAGTTCTGTTCATTTTTAGTAAATGCTATTTTAGAATTTGTTGCCTCACGATTGTTGAATTCTGTAATTGAATTTAAAGCATTCTTTTTTTTTTGTTATGAAGTATTAATATTGATTTTATAAAAAACATTCGTCTTCCAGGGATTAACATATTTTTAATATAATAGAAATTTTATAATTTTTAAACATTTTCATAACAAGCTCGCCACAAACAAATGGGAGGCCGAGTCCTTCTATAGAACGTAATATCAGGATCTTGATAATGGCTGCCTAAAATAGAGCTGCTTGAGCATGCAATCGATTCACACGAGCTTTTATTAGTAATTTTCGCTAGATCCAAACCGTAAGTATGCGCATGTGTTTCAGCATCTACTATAAGAATTTCTCTTGCCTGTTGACAGTGACTACACATCCAACAAGACTGGACATGCCATTGTTCCCGAGGGGTCATCATTTTGGGGGTAACAAACACCCCCAGGTGAGATTAAAGCTGCATGTGGAGTGCATAGTCGACATGACAGCCGTGCCTGTTTTACTAGTCCATCTTTTATCATACCTTGCACTACAACCGAGACCACAATTTTGATTCCCTTTGGTTCGATTTCTTCAGACCAGTCAAAATCAGCACAAACTCGACAAATTATTAAAATAATTGTTTGACAAACTTGTATTCACTTCATGCGCCTTGATAAATAAATTATTTTAAAAGAGCAATGTTATTATGTAATATCCTAAATTTCTTTGCAAGTTATTCATTTAATTTCCTCAATTTCCCTTCTGAGTAATTTATTTAATGACGATGATTAAATTCTTCTCTCATTTTATTTATTCAATGTACCTAACGTCGTTTCTAAATTATTTATATATATACAACATTCAATAACTTTTTATCTTTAACAAATTATAAACATAGTGTACATGAAAATCAAACTTAAAATACAGTAATTACATCTTAATATGAGAAATATAACCCTGAATGAGGTGCGATCTTCTCAGTCTTCCAGCGACCGCCGGGGGATGCAGATCAACCTGTTAAACACATCCTCTTCTAATCTTCTTTCGGAGGTTATTTGAGTTAACTTATTCATTTTTTTCGTTTATTAAATAAGCTCATCAAAGAGCCATATCTTTTATTTATTCTTTTATCCCTCCTTATAGGTCCCGACTCACTTGTTCCAATTATTTATTATTTTATTTCTACTTATGAGCCAAACCATGCATTTTTTAGTTATTCATTATTTTATACTTCTTCATGGGTCAAGACGCACGCTTCCTCATTATATATTAATTTATTCCCCTTTATGAGCAAAGCGAGGAATACCCTTAAATCACTTTATTCGCACAACCCTAACATTCGTGCATGCCTTACATCTCTGCATCCTTTACATCACTGCATCCCTTATATCGCTGCAACCCCTACATCCCCACATCCTGTATCCCTTACATCACTGCATGCCTAATATCCCTGCATTCTTTTCATCTCTACATTCGTTTTATTCCAACATTCTTTTCATCCCTACATTCCTTACATCACTTCATCCCTTACATGCCTGCATTAATTACATCTCTACATTCTTTTCATCCCTAAATTCTCTTCATCCCTTCATTCTCTTCAGCCCTACATTCTTTCCATCCCTAAATTCTCTTCATCCCTTCATTCTCTTCAGCCCTACATTCTCTTAATCCCTACATTCTTTTCATCCCTACATTCTCTTCAGTCCAACATTCTCTTAATCCCTACATTCTTTTCATCCCTACATTCGTTTCATCCCTATATTCGTTTCATCCCTATATTCTTTTCATCCCTACATTCGTTCCATTCCTACATCCTTTTCATCTGTACATTCGTTTCATCCCGATATTCGTTTCATCCCGACATCCTTTTCATCCCTACATTCGTTTCATCCCTACATCCTTTTCATCCCTACATTCGCTTCATCCCTACATTCGTTTCACCCCCACATTCGTTTCATCCCCACATTCGTTTCATCCCTACATTCGTTGCATCCCTATATTCTTTTCATCCCCACATTCGTTTCATCCCCACATTCGTTTCATCCCTACATTCTTTTCATCCCTACATTCGTTGCATCCCTATATTCTTTTCATCCCTACATTCGTTTCATCCCTACATTCTCTTCATCCCTACATTCTTTTCATCCCTACATTCGTTTTATCCCTACATTCTCTTCATCCCTACATTCTTTTCATCCCTACATTCGTTTCATCCCTATATTCGTTTCATCCCTATATTCTTTTCATCCCTTCATTCGTTTCATCCCTACATTCGTTTCATCCCAACATCCTCTTTATCCCTACATTCGTTTCATCCCTACATCCTTTTCATCCCTACATTCGTTTCATCCCTACATTCTTTTCATCCCGACATTCGTTTCATCCCTACATTCTTTTCATCCCTACATACGTTTCATTACTACATTCCCTGCATTCTTTACATATTTGCGAACATTTTTATGCAAAATTTTGCAAAATTTAGTTCCTTTTTTCGCCGCCAGAGGGCGCTGATCGGACCTCGAAATTTTAGTTCAAATTTCTGCCGCTAGAGGGCCAAAAATTGAGCATGATTTAGTTCCTTTTTCCAAAACCAGATGGCGCTGATTCGACATCGAAGTTTTAGTTCAAATTTTTCCCGCTAGGGGGCTATTTTTGCGAGAGTTTTCGAAAATTTTAGTTCCAAATTTGGCCGCTAGGGGGCGCTGCACTTTCGCGAATAATTTAGTTCTAATTTTGGCCGCTAGGGGGCGCTATTTTTTCGAGGTTTTCGAGAACATCTCGAAAAATAGCGCCCCCTAGTGGCCAAAATTTGAACTAAAATTTCGATGTCGAATCAGCGCCATCTGGTTTTGGAAAAAGGAACTAAATCATGCTCAATTTTTGGCCCTCTAGCGGCAAAAATTTGAACTAAAATTTCGATGTCGAATCAGCGCCATCTGGTTTTGGAAAAAGGAACTAAATCATGCTCAATTTTTGGCCCTCTAGCGGCAAAAATTTGAACTAAAATTTCGATGTCGAATCAGCGCCATCTGGTTTTGGAAAAAGGAACTAAATCATGCTCAATTTTTGGCCCTCTAGCGGCAAAAATTTGAACTAAAATTTCGATGTCGAATCAGCGCCCTCTGGTGGCGAAAAGGGGAACTAAATTTTGCACGATTTTGCATAAAAATGTTCGCAAATATGTGAACAATGCAGGGAATGTAGTGATGAAACGAATGTAGGGATGGAACGAATGTAGGGATGAAACGAATGTAGGGATGAAAAGGATGTAGGGATGAAACGAATGTAGGGATGAAGAGAATGTAGGGATGAAAAGGATGTAGTGATGAAACGAATGTAGGGATGGAACGAATGTAGGGATGAAACGAATGTAGGGATGAAAAGGATGTAGGGATGAAGGGAATGCAGTGATGAAAAGGATGTAGGGATGAAACGAATGTAGGGGTGAAGAGAATGTAGGGATGAAACGAATGTAGGGATGAAACGAATGTAGGGATGAAAAGGATGTAGGGATGAAACGAATGGAGGGATGAAAAGAATGGAGGGATGAAGAGAATGTAGGGATGAAAAGAATGTAGGGATGAAAAGAATGTAGAGATGTTATTTTTCGCAAGTAGATCCGCATTTCTCGGCGGCCGCTATTAGACTGAGAGGATTTCACTTCGCTCTAGGTCGACTGATTGATAACTGTGCTGCAGCCAGCTGGCTAATGTTAACTTACTTTTACTCGAATCAGTGTCTGTAAAGTTTTTTTTTTTTAGTATTTAACGTGGGGAAATCTTACATAAGACCCCCCACCGACCCCTGGGGGTGGTCGGCGGGGGAGTGTCAGATTCCTACTGACTAAAACCCCACGACGACCGGCACTGGCGCTAAAAAAGATATTCATCATGGGAGAGATCCAAACTGTGACCTCCCCGTGACGCTTGCCCTCTAGCCGAAACCAGGGGTCGCACCTGGTGCCGGCCCCTCGGACCGCGTGCAAAGGGGCGCCCGGAGCCCCATCTCCAGACGCCTGCGGCCCTAACGGCCCCACCAGATTTGGCGGTGAAGCTGTTATATCTAATGATAAGAAAAGAGAGAAATCAGCCTGTCTTCGCTGCTCTTCTCCACCCAGTTTGCGTTGGGTATGAATTGGGTGCTGGGGCGAACCTGTTCACGGACGATGGAGGCTAGATCAAACGAGATATGGCTGATATAGGATAACGTTGTGCTCGATACTCTGACAATCAGTAATGTGTTGTTGGTATTGAAGCAATTTGCTGTTACTGTCAACGTACGCCAGTCTATTGCACTGCTGAGAAGTGTTTCCTATTTACATACTACGAAAAAGGAGATGACAGTCGTTCTCGAGACACAAATTTATCATCCCTTGAAGATATTTTGAGATCACCCCGATCTTTTATCACTGCCCCCTGCCGATAGTTAAAGAAACTAAAAGTAAAGGGTTTCTAGTCTGTATTGTACTCCATCCATGATTGTAATTTAGGTTATAGTACTAAGTTGTGTTTAGTAGGAAGGTAGGAAGGAGTACGTTTGAAGTGTATTTTATTTCATTATTTAAGATAAAAATTTATAAATATGCCGACCTATGAAATGCCATTATTATTACGGCTCGGAAAGAAGGTAATTCTGTTATTATAGTGTACTGTGCTTCATACGTTTTATTTAGAAACTATTTAACCTGCTATTTCTTATCCCAAATGTAGATATTTCATCAGTAATAATAAAGTCTAATAAAAATTCAGTCCTGCCTTTTATTTTATTTAATGATGAATTGGCATGTTCCCTAATTTATTGTTTAATTCAGCAACTTTCTTCAAAAACAAGAAGAGTTTTGCTGTACCATAAAGTATATAAATGGACAACAAATTCTATTTGCAGGCTGAATATGCAAATATTTTAAAGAATGTGGCAAATTCGATATTTGAAACAGGAGGATTCATTAGAAAACTTGAGAATTGGGGCGATAAGGAACTACCATGTAAAACATCAAGTCATGGTGCAGTTCATAAAAAAGCTGGGTAAGCTTATCATGAATTTGTTTTAAATTTGTCATTAAAGGTAATACTATTATTATAATGTTTATGATTTTTTATTTTGCAGTCATTTCTTCCTTGCCTTTGATGCTCCGCCAGCCGCAATAGATAAAATTGTTGATGAATGTAAAAGGAATTTGAGTATTGTAAGAGTAAGAGTATATTTACAGAATGAACCACAACAAGTAGAATGTACATTTGCTGAAGAATTATTGCCCCCACCTTACAGGTAATCACCTACCTTTTCTTATAAAAGAATATTCATTTTCATCTTACAAAAATTTCATGTGTTTCTTCTTGTTCCAGACCTAGTGTTCAAAAAATGTTGGAAATAGCTAAGCAACAGAAAAATGATAAATACAAATTTAAACATAATTCGGGATTGGACTATTATCCTTTCATGAGATGAGCAATTTGTTTATTATTATTTATTAAATAATGCAGAATGTATGTACAGTTCGAAATAATAAAATCTGTGTAAACATGTTATTAATTGATTTATAATATAAATAAAAATAATTAGTCACAGGAAAGGATTGTTTATTTATTTACGAATAGAATCTAAAAATCCAAGTTTTACGATGCGGAATCCAAAATCTTATATTTCGCTAAATCCGGTCGTATCCATCACTATCTTGAACAAATGTTTCCGATTTGTTCATTTTTAGGTCTTATATTTCACTTGTCGGTATGTAAGGGATGTAAGGGATGAAAGGGATGAAGAGATTAAAAGAATGTAGGGATGAAAAGAATGCAGGGATACAAAGAATTCGGGGATGTAAATTGCGCGGTAGATTCTGTCTGCATATCAACATATCATTCTGGGGTGTCAGGGACCCCGAAGCACTGGTGGCGATCTCTGTGTACCGACTTGATTCCATCCTGGGGTATCTGGGACCCCGAAGTACCATAGACACTGATTGCATACCCACGATATGACAGTCGGGGTTTCTAGGACCCCGAAGCACTATTGACGCTTTTGCATACGGATATTACGCCAGTCGGGGTTTCTAGGACCCCGAAGCACTATTGACGCTTTTGCATACCGATATTACGGCATTCGGGGTTCCTGGGACCCCGGAGCACCGTTGATGCTGTTTGCATACCGACATTATGGCATCCGGGGTGTCAGGGACCCCGAAGCAAATAGCGAAATATAAGAACGGAAAACGAACAAATCTTGAAACTCACTTGTTCGGATAGTGATGGATTTAAGCGGATCTAGCGAAATATAAGAACGGAAAACAAACAAATTGAGAAACTTGCTTGTTCGGAATAGTGATGGGTTTGAGCGGATCTAGCGAAATATAAGAACGGAAAACGAACAAATCTTGAAACTCACTTGTTCGGATAGTGATGGGTTTAAGCGGATCTAGCGAAATATAAGAACGGAAAACGAACAAATCGTGAAACTCACTTGTTCGGATAGTGATGGGTTTGAGCAGATCTAGCGAAATATAAAACCTAAAAACGAACAAAACGCGAAATAGTAAGTGCAAGATAGTAATGGATATAACCTATAATAGTCCTATAATGGATAACCTAGAAGAAAATATAGTAGGATACTTACCTGAGTTTGCATACCTTGTTAGGTCACCCATTCATCGGGGTGACCGATATGGTAAAACATTATGGTATCCGGGGTATTAGGGACCCCGATGAATGGGTGACGCTCTTTGAATATCGACCTGATATCATTTTGGGGTATCACGGACCCCGGCGACTCGGCGCGCCGATAAAGTATTATCTGGGGTGTTAGGGACCCCGATGACTCTCTCTACGCACCTACAAAATATCATCTTGGGGTGTCAGAAACCCCGGTGACTCTCTGCGCAACGACCTAATATCATCTTGGGGTGTCAGGAACCCCGGTGACTCTGTGCAACGACCCAATATTATCTTGGGGTGTCAGGAACCCCGGCGACTCTCTGCGCGCCGATAAAATATTATCTGGGGTGTCTGGGACCCCGTAGCTAAAATGTACGACCTATAGACTTTCTATAGAAAAATTGAAACCTTTAATTTTTGACTTGTTGGTTGTTTATTAACTCATGTTATCAATACATTATGAAAAATTATTTTTTATAATCATCAAAAAATATTTGTACAAAATACTTAATGTAATTATATATCATTTATCATTATACAATAATTATAATAATTATCGTCTCACGTGCAACATGAATTTCATTTTAAAGTATAATTTGGTTACACTGTAACTCGTAAGGGATTTCATAGTAACAGTAACAGAGTAGCAAGTCGAACGAGTAACTCTGTTTTATAATCTATTTGTAATATTTAACAAATACGTAGCCACCTGGCATAACAATATACCTTTGTTTTTTTATATTTGTAAATAAATTGTTCTCTTGTTAAAGTATCGATCGGTATTTTTAACAATTTACAATACATCAACCGCGTGCGTATTGTTGTCTAAGGTGTACTTTCGAATTTTATTATTGAGCATAAATATAATTGTGAAACTGCTCATTTATCCGAGAAGGTATAAAAATTTGATAACGTACCGTGCTAATTCTATCTTAAATGCAATATAAAGTCATCTGGTTTATCCTCTAACAATTCGGAGAATGCGTTTTGTGCACCATTTAGAATTAAGTTGGACCACAACGAGAAGGATTGTTGTACAACAAAATTTTCTTCATAAGTTTAGCTCATCGTAAAGATTAAAGTAAATAAGAGCAATGAGTGAAACTGAATTATTCGATGAACGGATTTACATATGTCTAGTGTTCCCAAAATTAATGCCACTCTGATTGGCACCCTTATTGCTACCATACTGTAGGCTAATCACACCCTGTCCAGCCCTTAATTGTTCGTCGGTGAAGTTGCGGACATTTTTGTCAGCTTCCTTTGGTCCGATACTTGGTTTACCAAAATTACCCGCCTGAAAAGTAATTTAATTTATGATTTTTCACTGTAAGATTTTCTATGATACAAATTCTATAAATAAAGATGAATTCTTGTAGAGTTCTTATTTTTGAAATTAGCGAATAACTTAGTCAGCTTAGAAAATTTTTACTTGATCAAAATTGGAATATAAAGATAAAAGTTACAACTATATCTTCAGAGAAGATCAAAACTTTATATTCAATAATTAACTATACAAAAAATAAACTTCGTTTATTATTAAACGCTTCAAAGTAGAGTATCTCCTAAAAGTATGATTCTAATATTTTTAAAAAATAATTTATATAGATATAAATACCTTTCTACCAAGAGACTGTAAGCAAATTACAACTGAATTAAGATTCTGTCTCTCCCATAGATCAACAGTCTGAAAAGTTTCCTGGGCAGGTACACCCAACGCTCTCGCAGCTTCAAGGAAGGCGTTAATATTTTCCATGCACTTGAAAGCTAGAGTGGTTTTATTAATTTTCTTCACTGATCCATCCTTGATATCGTTCACCAGCCTGAAAAAGTAACCCAACGATTAATAACCGAACAACAGAGATGTCTCATCGACTCGAATGTTCTTTTAAGAAGTGTCTAATTACTTGCAAAGAAGGACTCCGTCCTTCAACGTTTCATAGAAGTTGTCCATGTCCCCGGTGGTGTTTATATTTTCGCCAGTGATCGTCTTGATCCATTCCAAACATTCCTGCGCCAGCTCCTCGCTGTATTTACTGTTGATCTGAAACAGAATTTTCAATCGGTTAGTAGATGTTCCATAAAATTTTTTGGAAATAATATTACTGCTTCGTGAAATTATTAAACAAGTATTACACCCCTAAAATTATTTCAATCTTCAGATTTAAGAGAAATCTGTTAAACCTACGTAAAGTGCATCGATGCATCGGTGCATCGTTGCACCATTACAAAAGTGCAGACACAGAATAATAAAGAAATTCAACTGTATATAAAGTTTCTCAATAATTCTAAAAATTCTGAATAATATACAGTATACCAACATTGGTTTAAAAGGGTTAATAGACTGTCGGTAAGTAAAGTGCATCGGTGCATCGTTGCACCATTACAAAAGTGCAGTCACAGAATAATAAAGTTTCTTATATAGAAATTCAACTGTATATAAAGTTTCTGAATAATATACAGTATACCAACATTGGTTTAAAAGGGTTAATAGACTGTCGGTAAGTAAAGTGCATCGGTGTATCGTTGCACCATTACAAAAGTGCAGTCACAGAATAATAAAGTTTCTTATATAGAAATTCAACTGTATATAAAGTTTCTCAATAATATACAGTATACCAACATTGGTTTAAAAGGGTTAATAGACTGTCGGTAAGTAAAGTGCATTGGTGCATCGTTGCACTATTGCAGAAGTGCAGTCACAGAATAATAAAGTTTCTTATATAGAAATTCAACTGTATATAAAGTTTCTCAATAATATACAGTATACCAACATTGGTTTAAAAGGGTTAATAGACTGTCGGTAAGTAAAGTGCATTGGTGCATCGTTGCACTATTGCAGAAGTGCAGTCACAGAATAATAAAGTTTCTTATATAGAAATTCAACTGTATATAAAGTTTCTCAATAATATACAGTATACCAACATTGGTTTAAAAGAGTTAATAGACTTTCGGTAAGTGCATCGGTGCATCGTTGCACCATTACAAAAGTGCAGACACAGAATAATAAAGAAATTCAACTGTATATACAGTTTCTCAATAATTCTAAAAATTTTCAATAATATACAGTATACCAACATTGGTTTAAAAGGGTTAATAGACTGTCGGTAAGTAAAGTGCATCGGTGCATCGTTGCACTATTACAGAAGTGCAATCACAGAATAATAAAGTTTCTTATATAGAAATTCAACTGTATATAAAGTTTCTCAATAATATACAGTATACCAACATTGGTTTAAAAGGGTTAATAGACTTTCGGTAAGTAAAGTGCATCGGTGCATCGTTGCACCATTACAAAAGTCACAGAATAATAAAGTTTCTTATATACAAATTCAACTGTATATAAAGTTTCTCAATAATATACAGTATACCAACATTGGTTTAAAAGGGTTAATAGACTTTCGGTAAGTATAAAGCATCGGTGCATCGTTGCACCATTACAAAAGTGCAGTTCCAGAGGAAAAAGTTTCTCATACAGAAAAGTTAAACCTACTTCTTCGAGGAATGTCTTTTTTATGTTGCATGCATTTTGATGAAGGGTTTCACGAGATCCTCGTCAATCTTTTAAGCACGAAGGGGCACGAGCCACCAGTGACCGCTTGTTATTAATTATACGATGTACCAGTGATCCAAGTAACACATCCTGTAGGGTCTGTGACACGAGCATCGCCGGAGTCACTGACCCAACTTGTTTGAACACACATCGTTCGTTGTTTCTTCGAGGTGCCTCGGAAATCTTCCCCGTCAACGTGGGCATCGTTTCGGAGAAAGTTTCACGGCAACCTGAAAAGGCCACAACGCCATTCCACCTACTGTTTTATCGCTGAGAAAGTCTTCAAAGATATAGCAGTTTCTCTTTGCTTTCGATGATAAAGGAGATACTTTTATTATTTCAAATATTTCTTTAACCAATT